GGGTCAAGATGCAAGGCCTGTGGAACTGTTCCAGAAACACATACTTTCTTTGACCTGGAGTGCAGGGATCAAACTCTTGTTACTATTGCATCAGTACAACTTGAGTCTGCTTTCTGCTGTACATCTGATCCATAACATTGGTATTTACTCCAGTTGCAGAACTGTTGGCAGGCCTGTGTGAAATGGCTCCAGTAAAAGCAGGACTGCTGCGATCTACACTATTGGTAAACTTAAACCAAAACAAAATATGTATCTTCACAGTTCTTCCTATTGAGATCAGAAGTAGAAGTAATAAGTACAGTGAAGGACGCTGTTCTCAAATTATTTGGGATATTAAGTGGAATGGAAAAGTACTTGGGAATATTTCTTGAATGGTTTCTGTAAACATTCCTTGAATAACTTTCCTGTGTCTAGGGTTGATGTGTGTTTAAGAAGATAGGGACACTTCCTAGAAAATTAGTTTTGTCTTCCATTTGGTTTGTTAGAAATCTCATAGAGGCTGAGGAAACAAAAATTCAGTTCCATGTTAAGACTGCAAAAGAAGCAAAGAAAATTTCAGAGGAACATCTAGAACTTACTCCCCACCTTGACACACTTAAGTTTGGCCATGACTCACTGTTCTGGGCATATAAATGTGATCAGCAACTGACAAGGGATGCTTTTTTGGCTGACTAGTGTGCTGCTATAATGTATTAGATAAACAAAAAGCAAATTTCAGTTAGGATTCTGTTGCAATTAGTGCTTTCCTTGATGTAGACTTTGACTGTATCAAACCATGCTAAATTTACATGGCATGTGTGTAAATTAACAGAGTTTAATCAAGAGCTAAAAATTTGAAAAAATAATGCAATTAAAAAGTGGTGTTATAATAGTGATGAACCAGGGAAGCATCAGGTTAGCAAATCTGCTGTTCTCATTGAAAATTAACCAAATCCCTTGCTGATAAAAGATTTTGATAATGGTGACTGTGTTCCAATATTTTGTTAATAAAAATGGGTATGTAGGAAATGTACTGAAGTACCTTGAATTTGTGTTCTTGTCTTTTCATTGAACACTGTGAAGGTTGTTTTGAAGAAACCCTATACACTTTATAAATAAAGCCATACAATGTTTGGAGGGCTGTAGAGTAACACTGGCTGTAGAGACAGCAGGAGATGAGACCTGCAACGATTAAAACACTGTTAACAATCAGATTTTCATACATACAGAATTCTATTGCTGAGTTTTTATTTTTTTTAATGAATGAAGATAGAGTTACATAGAAATGAGTACAGAGAAGGAAAGAGGTTCATAGAGGCAGGAAGGGAATAAACCATGCGGAGCCCAGATGACAATGGTCAGAACTTTAGTTTGATACCAAAGATGAAAAAAAAATCAGTGAAAGTGTCTGAGAAGTCTTAGGAGTTTTTCTTAATGATAAGTAGGGCAAGATGAATTCTAAAGATGGCATGAAATATGTGATGAGAAACTACAACAGGCAAGGCATCCAAATGAAAGGCATGATGGGAGAGCAGGGGAAGATGTCTCTGAAATAAGGTTCTGGGTATCATGTTGGCATGGAAATTTAGGGAGGAGTCAAAGGTTAAGTACTCTTTACATAAGCATAAGGGACAGGAAAAATACTGAATCTGCCAACAGTTAAAGACCAGAGAAAAAGGGCTGGGATATTTTTGACACCAAGGGAGTTTCTTTCAGTCATGATACCACTAAATTTTCCAAATGCCTCTGAAAATATTTGTTGAAGCATGACTTATCTTCTTTCAAAAACATCTTTGCATTCCAAGCAACAATACAGTTAGAGTCCTCTGCATAGGTTTCCATTCCACAATCATATTTGAGATGACTAATTCTCATGGAATTTCAGGGGCTTCGACAATTTAAATACCTTTACTTCCTTTTAAAAAACTGCTACCTTCTGTTAATAGACACATAGAGAACATGAAGGCATAAAGGAAATTTTCAGGCTAATACCCAAAATGTTTGTAAAATGTCTATGATTAGAATAAAATATATAATAGACATCTGAAATTGTTTTAGTTAACATTTTAGTTTTATGGGTTTTTTTTGTTGTTGTTTCAGGAGGGAAGGTGGGTTTGTTTGGCTTTGGGGTTTTATATTCTCTATACCTGAATCAATCTTTAAATGTTCATTTAGTTAGGAGTAATATGTATCTCAGATGTTATTTAATCACTTCCTCTACCAAGCCATGTTATTTTAAATAATTGGTAAATGAATCACTTTCAGAGGTCTCTGCAGAATTGAAGATTAATACTGTTTTCTCCAGCATGAGACACCCAAATTTATCCTCTAGAAAACAACAGAGAACACAGAATATGCTTCTGGGAATATGCAAGCAATTCTGTAAAGTCAGGGGAGGTTTACATTATGATTGCCATATAAAATTCAGACAAGTGAAATCAAAAAAGCCAAACTAGAGCAAAAACAGTTTAATGCAGATGAATGTCAATGCCAAACAAGAAAAAGACAGTTGAAGTTGCATATTGTCTGGGTGACTTCAACATAACTGCATGCCTACAAGAGACTAAACAGGAGGGAAGAACCTCAATGTAAACAAAACTGAAATTAAAATTCAGCAGTATACTGACTGAAAGAGAGGATGGAAATTCAAGCAGCTATCTGGTAGCAAACATTAGCTATAGCAGATGTGATTGCCATTAGCACTAAATGCATGTTAAATTAAAGCCAACATCTGTTCTCACAGAGATGGCCTCAGTCATCTTGAAAGAAAAGTTAATTTGGAAATCAAAACTTTAGAAAAGGATTAAAAGGCGGGTATGGTAGAGGTAGAGAAGCCTGATGTCTGCCATGACAAATGGTAACTATGGGCAAATGTTCACAGTCCTGGGTGGTCATTCTACAGCTCTGAATGAGTGGTGTTGCACAGTTGCTGGCAAAGGTCCTGCATGTAGAAGTCAACAAAATCTTTTAAAGGTGTAAATACAGGATTCAATTATTTGACTTCTTTTTAGATAATCAAAGACAAGCAAGTAGTAAAGTAAATGCTGGTGACAAATGCTGAGAAAAGGAAAGCAAAGTCATAAAGATTTCTAAATAATGACTAGCATCTTACTTTGAGCAGCATTTACACAAAGAGAAACAAAATTATTACAATACCAGGCATCACAAAATTCTGGGGCCTAGGAAAATAAAAGTAGTAAGAACAAGTCAAAAGTTCAATTGCACTTTGTGTTAAGTTCAGTTCCAAGGCTGGTTGGAATTTCAGAGAACTGAGGAAAAGGATTTCCAAAATGACGAAGGCATTACAAGTAGTAAAATAGGTGGTAGAAGCTGTTATCAAAGAAATCACATAGAAGAAACTGTGCTATCTAATCAGAGTGCTGAGGAATAAAAAAATGAAGTGGAGGAAACCTACCTGGCTGGGATTTCTTAGCACTGTTCTTGGCCATCAAGTAATAAGACTTGTAAGAAGTACTTAGTGGCAGGAAAATATTACAATAGAAGGGGAAGAGGGTCAGAAACTATCAGTATTTGGTATCTTGCTCTTCCCATCGCATCATCAGTTACGTGGTAGTGGCTATCTAAATTTATTTTAGTAAATAGTATGCTGAAATAACTTTTTAAAAAGCAGTTACAGCAACAGTCATAAAATTAATCTAAGACCTTAGAGTTTATTTCTTGTTTTGGGTCTTGTTGTAAAACATGAAATTCAATTTTATTTGGGCAGATTTAACCACCCTAACCTGAAGCCATGAAACTGTTTTTGAACACCCATCTAACTTATTTCTAAAATATCATACAGATTTAAAGCAATCTTGTTAAAGTAACAAGTCTAAAGTAAGAAGTTAGGTGGCTTTGTTTAGTGAGGATCTATAAATTTAGGTAATTACTTCTCACCTTTTAATTTTGCTGTAGTAAAGTTTACAACAATATAAAACTTGAAGTAACTATAGTTTTCTGTTTAATAGCATGCAGCAAGGAAGTTTTTAGATGTAATGAGTCAATGAGACTATGTATTAAGTATTTATTTACTTCTGGGACGGCTGTGCAAGAATTCTAGTGCATATGCTACTATTATTTGCTTCTCCCAGCATATCCCTTGCACAAACATTATTCATGCAATTCAGCCCTTAAAGTTTAGAAATTATGCCTGTATGAAAGAATGGTGTAATACCTCCATTAGAGATGTCTCTTATTAAACCTCTGATCTGAACTACTTGATAACTGGGGTATAGGCTGCAAGTTATAATGACAAAACTGCCTAGTTAGTGTAATGTAGGTGTAGATTATTACAGGAATTGTACAAAAAAGCAATTTGCTGCAGCCATTTGTAAAGTATTTTATATTGGTAATAAATATCTCTGTTTTGTTCTGTTGTGTTGACATAGAAGCTTCTTGTCATTAGCAGCTATTTCTTGCTAATATATTGGTTTATGAGTTTTCAATAATAAAGTTCTTTCCCATTTTTGTTGACTGAGAGTTGCTGTTTGAATGCTAAGTTAATTTACTCTCACAAGAAGATAGTAATATCTGAAAAGACTATTATCCCTGGGGATAGAAACTACCTGCCAACCTCTCCATGCAATAATCACTACCTGGAGTATATACTTGAAAAGAATAAAACAAGCTAAGCCATGCAAGCATGATGCTGCAGTTTTCTTCTAACTTAGTGTCTCCTATTGTCTTCCTAGTATGCATTTGTCATTTTCATCATTCTCCTGATAAAATTATAAATGCTATTACACAGTAAACATTAGAAATGTTACTCCAAATAAAATTAGCTGAAAAGATATTAGTTTCATAATTTAAACAAAAGAAATATTGCTTCTACCATATTTGCTTCTGGAAATTGAAAGGTGAAGATGGAATAGGGGATAGAAAGAAGACTAGAAATTTGTCCTTGAATTTCAACCTTCTTGAAAATAAACTTTTATTTTTGAAATAAAATTTTCTTAAATAATGTTCTTCAAATTGTGCACTTGTAGCATTAGCAACTCATTTAATAATAACCACTCTGTAAAAATGGTTGATCAGCATTGTATTTTAATGGCAGTTTTGCTCATGAGAAGTGCAAGACATTACTCCATCAATAAATGTATAAATGACAGTCTGAATCTATGTGTATCAAAGAAGTCCATGGCATTGGAAGAAAAAGAAAAAAAAAAATTGGTCTAAAATTGTAGCTGATGAAAGACACCCTAAATAAGATTTAGGAATTGCTCTGGCCAGAAATTCCTTTGCTATATAGGTAATTTCAGCTGCTTACCTTTAGATTAAAAATATTACTAGTGGTTTTTAGGAAGTCAACACTAGATAGTCCAATAATCCTCACAGATGTTCATGCTTTAAATAGCAGAGGTGCTGTAATTACTACAAAATAAACACATAGTAGGAAAGAAAGGAAAAAGCTGCTCCAAGATGTTAAAGTGTAAACACAGGCTCTTGCAATAAAGTACATGGAAAATTACAGTGAGAAATGAAAATGTTGTGGAAACAAGTCAGATTTTAAATTATAAAGAAAAGGGGAGTGGATAAATCTGTCATTTAACCCCGAGGATAACTCTCCTGATTGATGAGACAGTTAGGAATGTAAAGCTGACATAGGAGATTAACTACTCAAAGAGGGGGGAAAGGGGGGTACATGAGACTAAAAAGTAAGGCAGGAATTCAAGTCAAAAAACATCTCTAAAATCTGGGATCAGCACATAGACTCTAGAAGGACATCCATAGTTAAACAGAAGACATTAAGTTCAGTGATCAAAGCCGAAGCCATTAAAAGCAAACCTGAAATCAAAATCAAACATCAGTTCAACTGTCTTAATGGCAAAGGAGACATGGCAAGTTTCTCATTACCCCACATCTTTACATCATGACATAATATGCTCATTTGTTCCAAGTTTCTGGACTGTGGGTGCTGACCCCACCTCTTTCCCTAGAGTCAAAGAATGCAATTAGGGAGTTGTGAAGCGTTTAAGATTTACTATGCTCTTCCCTACTCCTTGCACACCCTTAGTCTTCAAGGTCAAGTAACTTCTATCCACCTCTTAAAGCTTGCCCAGATTGTTTCACCATGGTGATTTACTATCACCAAAAATTCTTACACTATTCAATAATAAATTGTGAAAATCTGACTTAAATGAAACTTCAACCTAAGAAACTCTAAAAGGGCTCATCCAGTTCTGGTCACTGTATTTAGCGATGGAAAAGGGAAACAGACACATCATTATACTGATGAAAGCTGATAAAATTCTGTGATGCTACTGGCTGTGACTGTATGTTCTAAGTAGCTATTTCTATTGAAAAGGAAGCTTGGAAATTTTCATGAGGAATAAAACCTTTTTTTTTTTTTTTTTTTTGTTAGGAATGAATTTTGTGCTTGGCTGTTCTGGTAGCATGTTATTACTTCTACCCTGGACTACTTTTGTGGGTACTGGCTGCTTTTGCTGCTTCTGTCTTCATTTCTGCTTTAACAGTAAATTGTTTGATGTACTGTTTGGATTACTTTGTGTTAAGATAAGAGTGTTAAAACACTGAAATCAGGCTGTAGACACCATCTGAGAGATTCAAATAGTAATTTATTTAAAAAATCTCATAACTAAATTCACTGATGTAATAAATGTGCGTGGTAAAATTTTAAATTAACTTGCACATAGTGCAACTTAATGTAAAAGGATTTACAAAGTTTAAATATCGTATCTCAATCCAGTGAAAGGTTATAATTACATTGTGTATCCTGGGAGTTTGTTTATTACAAGTTCACTGATGTCTTTGTACTGATTAGGATGTAGTTTTTCCAGAAAATTATCTTCTTTGTCTGACCTACTGTTTTCCAGAACACTAAGTTCAAGATCAGACATGTTAGATGGCAAGTAAGAGCTAACTTGAGTTACTGATTGCTTTTGTTCTGTGGAGGTCTGCCACTTTCCTGTATTCAGATCTGTATCAGATGTAACCTGTTTGCTTCTCAGTGTAGACATTTCTTGAATATCTCGATCACCCCTGTTCTCTTCCTTACTCATCTGTTGGGCTTCCTGCTCTTCTTCTAATAATGATGCCTCCATCTCAGCAAGGTTAAGTGAATCAGCAGACTCGGCACTCGTCCCCATGCTGGTTTTAAAGTCACAGTTTCTCCTCAAAGACTGGACTGGAGATGAAGCTGAAGGAACTGACAGAAGATCTGAAGTACTTTGAGCTCTTACACTTGTCTTTGAAATTCTGGACCTGCTGGATTCTTGCTCTGTATCTGACCTATCCTGTTTTGGTCTTTCAAGCCACAGAGGTTCAGGACTGCTGTCACAAACTTTTGAGTCTATGGCTGTACACTCAGCATTGGTGAAATCTTCTGAACAAACTGAGTTCTCTGGACTAGCAACAAAGTCATCAGAGTATATGAATTCAGAGTTGTTTTCAACACTCCTGCTGGGGCTTAGTTTATGACCACTTACAACAGACACATGATCATGCTCCATGGTTTTATGGATTAAGTGTGTTGCATCATTGTAACTTCCTCTTGCATTATCATCTGATGGGAATGCTGCTGGGAGTTGAGCTTTTGTATACTTTTCCTCATGAGCAGGTTTTAAGAGAGTTTCCTCCGGTAAGGGGGCTGTAGTTATTGAATCCTGCTGGGACAGACTTGCAGCAGACTGTTTCTGGAGGCCAGTGGATGTATCTCCTGTCACAAAAACTGACTCTGAGAGAGCACTGTTTTCTAATGAAGTCTGAACAATTTTATCCAACTGATTATTCCGCTTTGAACTACCTCCTGTGCTACACTGCCTGCAAGACACCACATGCTGTTCTTTGGTATTTCTGACCAACTTTGTCTTGGGTAAGGGGCTTCTCTCTTTCAGCATCTCCATTTGCTTTTTTCTGTACTGCTCCCTCCTTTCATGAATTATCAGCTTATCCGGGTTGGTCTGCTGCAGCCGTAGCCTCAATGTATTTGTCAGCCCATACATCAATTTCTTTTTGGGAGGTCTATTCTCCTTAGCTTTGCAGCTCTTTTCACAGACTGGCTGTGCCTCGGGCACAGCTTTCTTGGGTCTTCTCCCAACCCCAGAAGACCCTGGGGAGGAGGCTTTTTGACAGCCTTGTTTGAACGGAGGGCTCGTGATTTCACTGCTCCTGCCAGGCCCCACAGGTGTCTCTGCAGGCCCGAGGGCAGCAGAGCGACTGGGGGGCAGTGAGGCCGTGTCTCCACTCCCTGGGGCCTGGTAGAGCCAGGCAAGATGAGGGTGGGCAGCAGCAGCAGGCACAGCGCTGCGGGTGAGCACCGACAGCTCCGCCAGCAAGGCACTGAGCAGTGGCAGCTGCACCAGGGCGTTCTGGGGCTGGCGGGGGCTGGCGGGGCGCAGCAGCGAGGGCCCAGAACCGGGCCGTGGTGGGCTGTGGCCCTTGTGCTTCTCCTGCGGTCGCTGGGGCTCGACGTGCTCCCACCGCCCCATTGGTGCTGGCGGCCGCTCAGGCTCAGCCGGCTCACGGCTGTAATAGAGCAGCGGAGGGCAAAAGACGTTGCCTTCCAGCTGCTCACTGTCCTCCTCGTCCTCTTCCTTCTCTTCCTCCTCCTTCTCCTCTTCTTCCTTCTCCTCCTCCTCCCGGTCCCGCGGTTCAGGGGCGGTGGCAGGCGGTGTGGCAGTGCGGGGGCTGGCGGGGCGCACCTCACCGCCCTCCAGGCTGGCGAGGCGGTAGCGCAGGACCAGTTCCCCGGCGGGGCGGCCCACGGTGTCCCGCAGCACGAAGCGGCCGCGCCGGCCGCAGGAGGAGGGCGCCCCGGGCCGCTGCAGCAGCTCGGCGGCGGGGGCCAAGGACACGGCGCTGCTGCCGAGGAGGCGGGGGGGTCCCGGGGCACGCCCGGCGGGCAGCGCCAGGAGCAAGGCGCGGAGCGGGCGGCGGCGGAGCGCGGCGAAAAGCGAGTCCGGGCACCAGCGGAACAGGCACCGCTTGCCGCGGCCGAAGGGGAAAGGCTGCCCCGGCCGCAGGGGCGGCGCTGCGGCGGCGGGGCGCAGCACAAGGGTGGGGAAGTCCAAGAGGCGCAGCGCCACGGCCGGGCGTTCCGCGGGGCCCGGGAGCTCCGCGGGGCCCGGCTCCGCCAGCCGCAGCGCCTCCACCAGCACCTCCAGCGCGAACAGCCGCTCCATGCCGGCCGCGGGCCCCGCTCTCGCGAGAGGTCGGGCTGTGCGCAGGGCGCAGGCGAGGCGGGCCGCTCTCTCGCGAGAGTTGCGTCCCGGCAGTGCTGCCTGTGCGGCGCAGCGCGGCGGGCGCGGCGGGCTGCCCGCAGCCCCGGGAGCCCGGGCGGCCTCAGCGCTGCGCGGCCCCGCGTCCCGCCGGCGCGGCTGGGCCTCCAGCGGCTCTGCTGTGCCTCCCGCAACCTTGCTGGCCGCCTGCCCTGCTGGCGGCGTGGGGGGCAGCGGCCGCAGCCCATGGAACAGGTGCTCCCCGGTGTCTGAGCGTAGGAGCCTCGTGTGTCCGGGCGGCAGCCGCCGTGCTCCTGCCCTCGGCTCTGGTCGTGTATTCCCCGGTGTAGTTCTCAAGGAACAGGAGCGGGGGTGGGATTGGCCCTGTGCTCCGGCAGGCAGCAGGAGTGGTGTTCGTGGAGGCTTTGAGGGAACTTAAACTGTTTTCTCATTCACAGATTCACTGACTCAATTGGGTTGGAAAAGACCTCTGAAATCATTAAGTCCAGTCTTTGACCAAACACCGCCATGTCAACCAGATTGTGGCACTCAGTGCCATGTCCAGTTGTGCCTTAAACACCTCCTGGGGTGGTGACTCCATCACCTTCCTGGACAGCCCATCCCAATATCTAATCACGCTTTCTGTTAGGGAATTCTTTTTAATGTCCATGTAATCTTCTCTTAGCTTAAGACTGTGTCCTCTTGTCCTATCCATAGTTGTGTCCTGCTCCAAGAGAAACGTGGGGGTCTGTGTCAAGGGCTGTATACTGAAGAGCCTTTCCACAGTATCTTCGATATGCATTGATAAACTCATATTTTCTCTCCTGTCTGCATGTAAAGTGGGAGTTGAAGTGAGCACACTTGTGAAGAACTTCATTCCTCAGCCTGCTGCCTGGCAAAGAGTGCTCTTCCGTCTCTGTCCACTCTTGCCTTAAACCACAGTCTCCTTGCCACAGGCACAATGAATACTTACTGAGTTAGAAAGAAATTTGTGTTGTTTTCTTCAATTAGTAAGTTGACTCTAAAACAATGTCTCCTAAACTGAGGATGTTGGATTAAAATTACAGTACACCTTCACCATTTACCAGCAGCAAAGTAACTGAAAGAAAAACCAATCCCCTCTCTCTTTCTGGTTATTTCTTCCTTTTTTCCCCACTTTCCTTCAGGTGTCAATTCACAATTTTTTAGAAAAGTAGGAACCAACAGGAGATGGTCAAAAAATCCAACTCTTCACTGTTGGTCAGATTCCTCTATTATTTAAAGGACACCTTTCATTAACTGTTATGTCTGAGAAGAGAGTTAAGGAGTTTGACTTCTGTAATCAGGACTCAAGAATTATGTAATTGAGTTCTCAGTTCCTCTGCTGCCACTTTTCTAAGCACATGAGTCTAAGAGCTACACGTCTTCTGCCATCAAGGCTGCCAATGTTCACATTTGGCTTTGTAGTGGCATTCTGGCAAGACAATGGCCAGTCTGTTTCACTGCTGCATTCATGTCCTGCCATACGTCATCTGCTTTCCTTGTGTTTCATTTTCCTCCAACCAGTTCCCACATCAGGAGGGCTTGACAGTTTAGTAGATGTTCTCCGTAAAGGAGAAATGGCAGAAGAAAGACTTCCTGTTACACTGAAATTGACAGATTTTGCAGTAGTCAAATCGGCACTCTTGAGGTTGCCCACAAAGACAACGGATCAGCATTTTGCCTGTTTTATAGATGGACATTACTGTGACTGTGAGGTTTAGTCCATGACTTCTATTATCTTATATTTGAAACTTCCCATCTTTGTAGAGGAGGATGCATCTTTCTGTGCGGTATCTGGAATTGGAGTTTGGGGGTGAATTATGGAGGAGCCATATTAAGATGCTGAATCTCTGCACACTGAGGTTTTAATTTTCATGGCCCTGAAAATAGACAACTCCTGTATTTTGTTCTGCACAGAAAATATAAATAAAAAGTACTGGATACTTGTGTAAACTATAGGTGTTAACAAGCTGTGTAAGATCAGTCAGCAAGCTAGTGACAAAACAATTATTTCAATAGAAAGGAATAAGTATGTTCCAATTGGTGTGTTTTATTAAGTCAATCCTCAGGTTATGAGAGCCTATTTCTATTCAAAATAAACAGAAAACAACATTCAGGTTTTGAATTGCAAGAAAAAAAGGTATTTTTCTTCCTAATAGTCTTAGTTGCTACTAACCACCATTTAAAGGAGACTTGTGATAAGACTTCCTCAGATTGCAAATCACTGAAGAGTGATTTAGAAAACAATCATGCCGCGGAAGTGGGGTTATGGAGCCCAGATTCATTGCCTCTACCACTCCAAATACCGCAGGTACATATTCGAATCTACATTAGTTACATTTAGTAATCTTTTTAAAATAGCTCTGCTTCTTCTCAGTTCTCCTTTCTTATAAATGGATTTTAAATTTTTTTTTCTAAAAGGCTGGAAGACAATTCAGTGAAATTTGCTGATTCAGTGAAATCTTTCACTGGCCTTTTTTGTATGTTTGAAATACCAACTTTCTGTCTCAAAAAATTTCAACCCAGACAATTGGTATCATTAACAGCAACTCAGCAACTTTTGTTCAAATCTATATCTTTTGAAGGCTTTGAGATGTCTTTTCTTTGCCCTTAATTCCTGTACAACTTCAGATTTATCAATCTCTCTTCACTAAGAGATCTGTCTATACAATTATGTATCTGTTTATAGATTGAGACATATGACATTTTAAAAAAATCTTGAGAAAGCATGGATTTTGCTAGATTCGCAATTGAATCTTGTGTTCTTCTAAAGAATGCATTTTTTAGAGATCAAATGCTCGCATAAAGAGCCACTGTTTACCTGCATATAAAATTGCTGTGCAGAATTTGCAGGGCAATGCATGGAATTTGTGCAAATATTTGGCCTGGTGGCACTCTGATTCAGAAAGGAGTCAGACAGTCTGCTGGAATATTCAGCTGCAACATAATAGCAGTTCTTAAAATACTCCAGCTTAAAATGCCACCCAGAGAAAACTTATTTAGTCTTTTCTCAGTTGTCTATTGAGTCAGCCACTTGTGAAAGGGCAATAAACAGGAAGAAATTCAGGAATTAGCATGGCAGTCTTTGATAATTCTCTTCATCAGCTCAGAAAAAATATGAAAATTTATAAAGTACACGAACAAAGCATTTGAGGTTTTTGCAATTTATTTAGGTTTCTCTATTGAAGAATCTAGAATAAGTTTTGAAAAGAAATAAGGTCAAATAAGAAAGCTGAATCTATTCAGAAATTGCTGTTTGCATATGTTTTGGTATATAGTGCAGTCTTGAAGGGAACTTTTCTGTGTCTAGATTCTACTTCATGATCCTTAATTTTGTGCTGACCCAAATCTAGCGAAGTCTGGAGCAGTCTAGAAACACTTGCAATGGTATTATTGGCATAGGCATTTTGTTATCCTTCAAAATGAAGGATACTGTGGTTTTGCCCCACTTCTCAATGTGTGCCCGCCTGTCTACAAAGTGCCCCATTGTTTGGGTGGTCAGAGCAGCTGGTATAGAACCTACTCAGACATACAGCTCCAAAATTTGTCCCTTGTGTTGCTACCTCAAAGATGCTTGTGAACTTCTCTTACTTCACTGTGATAGCTCTCACGTTTATTTTCACTCTCTGCTATCTTTAGCAGACTTTGGGAGTGCTAAAATAAACATTCTTTGCCTAGTCATGTGGCCCTTCTCCATTTGGCAAACACCCGTCTGTTTCCTGTCTTTTTAATGATTTCATCGCTTTCCTTAGTGTTTTACTTTTTCAGAGTGGTGAGAGTTGGGGCTTATGGCAGACATACTTCTTCCAAATCAGCAGGGGGTCAAACAGGATTGGTGGGGGATATGGTTGGCCTTTGAAATGCATGTGGTTTTTGCAGCCAGGTTAGAAATATAACCCATGCCAGGTTGTCTTCTGATTCCAAATTTCTTAAGGATTAATGGGACTGCAGCAAAGCACAGCTTCTCCTTCTGTACATCATTATCTTTCTTAGATGCGGCGAAACTCAGTCCAAATAGACACCTAAAGGAAACAAGGAAAAATCTGGCAAGTACTGTAAGAGCCAACAGGAAGCAGGTTGTCACAAATACAAGACTTCAGACAGCTATATTGAACGTGACAGTGAGACATATCCACAAGGGTTGCATCTGAGATGATTTCCTTTATTTGGAAAGAGTTCTTATTAAAGCAAATAGACATTTTTGCTTAAAACAAAACAATAGTGAAGGGTCAGCCTCAGGATTCAGCTCATTGAATATTCTTTGTATAATGACTAGCAACATTCAAAGTCAATTTCCTTAAATATCTGGGTGTTATTAGCACATGGAGGCTTTTCTATCAGTCTCTTATTTTATGTAAACCATCACAAACTCATTTGGTATTAATAGAAATTCCATGGGTTCACATGCTGTCGTTTATAATTAATTAATATATCATTGTTTAAATTGTGTTACTTCACATCCAATAGCTGTGAAGCTCTCAAAAGTCCTCAGAAGGATTTGATTTATTTCCTTTGGCTTCATGGTTGCAGCCCATACTTGTCATGCACATATGTAGTGAATGAGGAGAGGATTCCAGGTACTTAGCCATCTGAAGAGGACAGCTTAATCACACAACAGAGTAGTTCCTGGATATGTTTGAGAAGCACAGAAAATCTGCAGCAAAAGTTTTTGTCAAGGTGTGGGGATCCTTAAAATTCCTGTTGTAACTGTATGGCTGGAGAGGTCCTCAGCTCCTCTCAGAGATGTTGTCTTTGCAGGCAGTGATTTTTCAGACTCGCCATCTCCTAAAAGGATATGTTTACAGCATTTCTCTAGCTCAAGCTGGGAACCATTGGAGACAAATTGCAGTTCAAATATCTGACAGGGCTTCTGACAGCGAAAGCTCTTGTGAGCTTCAGGATGGTTCTTAAAATCAATTCAATACTTAGATGAGATTTCATTATAAAA